GGGGTTGCTCTATCATGCTTCAAGGTTAAGCTCCCTTTTATCGTTGCCATAAAACCCAGCAGGTGTGGGAGAAAGAAAAAAGGCAAAGGAGCGCGAGGGGAGAGAGAGAGAGAGAGAAGAGAATGACAAGGGGAGATAAGGAGAGAAATCAAGGGCTGATGGTATAATAGTGCAAGTGAACGGTTTCATCACACTCAAAATCGAGGCACGCTGAGGGAGCGGAGCCATAAAGGAAATGAACGACTTTTTGGAAAATACAATTATCGCATTCTTAATGAGAGTTAGATGAGAAGAGCTATACCAGACGATATGTCGGTACGCCAAAAATGAAGCTACGGCCCGCCGCGGTTAGCGTAGCTTAGCATAAAGACTTGAAACAGCTAGCCAGGCTCTTCCCAAAGGTATAGTAAAGTTGGTCTACCAGCACCAGGCGCTCAAGATTTGGGAACAGCAAACACACACGCACACAACCCCCATAAAAATTGGCATTTTAACACTTTGTTTACCTTGTTAATTTGTGAGCTTAAGTGTGTGTTCATACAGAACACAAAGCAAATTCTAGAGGCGGATATGAATGCATACAGTCAATGGAAATACACAATTAGACGCAAATTATCCTGAGGCGGCACAAATTGAAGCATCCGTGCAAGATGCAAATGTTTTAACTTGAGTGAAAAAATGAGCATGTTCAGGAATCTGCTTAATAAACAGAGAGACCAATGCAGTGTCGGTGCAGTCGGAGGTCGCGATCGAACGTCTTTTCAGTTGTACATTTGCTTTTTGGGCCGAATAGACACAAATGCAGTAAAATCTGCACAAAAGGATGCAAGGGGAAAACTCGCTTCGCTGTCTGTATGATGGTGGATTTTGCTACCTTCAAACAGAGCCGGGCTAGCGTTTTTTTTCCTGTTTCCAATCTTTATGCTAAGCTAAGCTAACTGACTGAGAAAGACCATTTCAGTCTAGATCACTATGTGGAAACTAACTCCGAGATGAATCTGACTATTGTCTTGTCCTGCAAACTGGAGGACGCACGCTTTGCTCCATTTGACTCACACCCAGCCCCGGGCCTATTGTGAAATCACATTTCACATTACCCACATTTATTAACGTTGCCTTCTTAATGGAAGTCTGCTGCAGCAAACTATTTGTCTTGGTAACACTGAGAGCACTAAGCGGAAGTAGAGGATTGCCACATTCTTGCAGAGGGCCCCCACATTCCCCAGAGCACCACAGGGTTGTTGTAGCTCGTACAGTTCTTCCTCTGCTCCCCTCCCCCACCTCCCCAGCATCCAGCTTCCTGTGCAGCAGCATGGCCGCTCAACCATTCCCTTTCCCTGCGCCGAGCTCGGTCAAGCTCCAGCTCCCTGTACCCCGCAGCTCCAAATACATTATTTACACTCCCCTCCCTTCAGCTCAGCTCAAAAGAATCAGGGCAGAGGGAAATAACACCGCTGCTCAACCCTCCCCTCCCTCCCCTCCACCACCCCACCTGCTCGCTCTTTTCTCACTCTGCGGGATGAGAATACAGTGCAGGACTGGGCTGCGACAATAGGAAACTGTGTGAGGGCCCCAGCCCTCCCATTAATCCCCTCTGACATGCCTCCCGAGGGCAGGGATTTGCTACAAGTCAATGCAGGAGACCTACAGTATGCAAAACAAGCCTGTCTGACTCTCATGATTTTCAAAGCCTCTGCACTGCCTGTGAGACAGGAAGGCAGATCAGAGAGAGAGGGGTGGGGGGAGAAATAACTGTGCACACAGTCTGCTTAGTTAACCCTTTCTTCACCCTCCTGCTCAGTGTACGTGTCACTTCCCTCTTCTAGTTTCACTCCTAGCCTAGATTGCAGAGATAACGCTGATAAGAGATGACAGGATGAGAACCGAAGCTGAGCGAGATATGTTTTTTTTTTTCTTCTTCTTCTTCTTCTCCCGCTCAGCCGTGCCACCTTCATCCTCTTTGTTTTCCTTCATGACAAATTCAGCTCCAAGAGAGAGGCTTGTTACCAGACGGGGAAAAAAAATTGAAAAGCACACAACGTAAACAGGAATCCACACAGGTCACGTGACGCACTCACTGTTCTCGGGCAGAGTAGTGCTATTGAATTTCCGCCTTATCGGGAATCTCGTGATGAGGAGATAGGTGGAGGCTGGGTGGGGTTGACATTAGAGGGTGTTGGTGGTGGTGGTGGGGGGGGGTCGTCTGTTCACACCCTGCAGCTCACAATCACTGGGGAATGTAAACAACAGAGCTGAATAGACAGGCTGGCTTTTACACACGGAGGGAAGAAACCTGCATGGAGGAAGGGCAGCAGATTTATCACGGGGAAAGCAGCTGAGAAATGGAAAACTAAAAAAAAAAAAACAGTTGACAGTAAGACATTGCCCCACAGAGGGAGAGAAATCCGCCAGGATTTGTAGCCTGCTTTAGATTCACGTGATTGGCTCCACTGTTGCCCCCCCCCCATCCCCATCCCACCCCATCCCTTTTTTTTCCACCGGTCCTTTGAGATGGAAAAATGGGTCATTTGTGTGGAAGTTAATACTCTGAGCACGTACAGTGCTGCTTTATTTTAAGGACGTGCCTTGGAAATGTTTCTCCCCCCCCCCCTCCGCTGGTGAATGACATAGAAGGTGCTGGGTAATTAATACGCCGTGTTGCTGCCGTGCACACAAGTGGCAGTGCGGAAGAGAGCAGCAGTCCATTATAGACGCGTCTCATATTGCTCACCAGTCTGCCCTCTTCTTCCATGACAACGTACAGTAGTAGGCTGCAGACTCTCACACCGCAGCCATGACATCAGGCCCAGACTCATGAGTATCGTGTGGGCTGGAGAACATGTTCCAAAACACATGCAGGCCTCTGTGGACGCCTCCACCTTAGCAGCCACTGATCAGCAGGCTACGGATGGCAAACACCTCCCCGGGAGGTTATACAGCTCGGAGCTGGTGCAGCACGGCGTGCCGGTTCGCAGAGCTACATGAAGATGCCATAGCAACCGCATACAAGTTATTTCTGTCTGCCTTTAAAACTCCCAAACACAGCTGCTCCTACATAACCAGACATCTCCACACGGCCCAGATACCAGATCTGTGTACGGTATGGCTCTCGGTATTCAGAGCGAAGTAATCGAGCTTTTGACATTCAAGCTTTGCAAACTGGAATAACACAGCAAAAGGGTAATTACTGCTGTGGATCACTTTTGTTGACAGGATTTCCAGTAATGAGTTGTGGAGCTCAAGCGATTATAAAATTCCCAATACAACGTTTGACATACGATCGGAATCGGTGCAAACAGATTACAATGGCAGTCAGGCCTCTTTGGTTTGCTCCCCTACGCCTTGTCCCCGTCAATAACAGGTTATTTCCTGCGCCTGTAATGAAGGAACAGGCCGCATCTGTCATCGGGAGCACATTAGGAAAAAGGATTACCAACTGTTAAAAAAAAAGAGGAAGAATCACCCCTCCCGAGCACATGGTCTCTGTGCTGCAGGCACCGCCATTGTTATTGCTGTCAACTGGAACTGTTTTGCTCTCAGCTCTCCATTCAGTTGTCCTTCAGTGGAAAAGCACGGCCGTCTGCACACACACAGCCTGGAGCAACACTTCCCCCTACTGCACAACAAGAGGGACTTTATTTATTTAAAAAACGATTTTTTATTCCCCTGTCGGCTTCATCAGATATGAAGAGCTGACTCATACTCCATTCATGCAGACTCAAATAAGAGCACGGGTGCAATAAATTAATTACATCAAATTAAGAGAACACCTAATTGATTACATAAAAGGTCTATTTAGGATTAAGGCAGACTTTGTTTTAGATTGAAAAAAAAAACAACAACTAAAGATTTGCTGTGTCATCCTGAACTGAAAACACGTCATGGCTTCATGCCGAGACCGGTTTTGCTTGGTTTATTTTATGATAGCGTGCTTCCACGGCAGACGGTATACTGGTCTGGTATCCTTCATCGACCCCTCAGCTGGGTTCAGTGTGTTTGTGTGCAGTAGAAGCAGGCCAGTGGTGCATAAGGGGGGGGGCGAACCTGTTCCTACCCCCCCCCCCCCCAGCGGCAGACCACAGCTCCGGCTTGACCTCCAACACAGTCTGTTATTTTTCTCCTCCGCCTCCCCAAAGGACAGATTAACAACGAGTCACTTCTTCTGCACACGCACTCGGTGCCAGACGACTCTGCAGGCCTCTCGACGGGCTTCTCCTTTTCCACCAAAATGGCAAAAAAAATAAGCACGAGTGCTGAAGGAAAGGCTGCAGAGTGAGCGCATGAGTTCATGGAAAATGGAACACCGTCTACTATTTAGTCTCAACTCGACATTTCTGGGCCGCGGTTCAATTTTCATTTCTCATTCCTGATGGAGAGAAACCATTTTCGCCCTGCTCTTGTTTCCTGGCAACCTCCAGGCCCGCGCTGCTCTCAGGCCAGAGATTTAGAAAAACAGCAGCGGACAGGGATAAAAATAATTACGGCTCTATTTGTCTTCCAGGAGACACACTTTAAACCAGACCCACTCCCTTCCCCAACGACCTGCTCCACTTTCGCTCCCCTGCACGCACAATAAAGCCATTCACAATAAAGACACGGCGGCTCATGTGTTGAACACAGAAATACTGTACTCCCAAAATGGCAAGGCAACCGTGTTCCTGCAGCGTCTGCATATTATTTACGGTCAAGGGTTCATTAACACGTCGGCAGTCAACACTTATATTTAACGTGCCGAGATCTCAGTCCCATGAGAATGCATTGCATTACCTTCCTCCGTGTTCTTTAACAGCTTTTTTTTTTCTGTGGTATTTTCAATGAATCTTGAAGAATATTTGTCCTCCGCTTCTGCACAATTTCTATTCATCAAAATTAATCTCCAGCTTTCCGGACACATATCTGCCCCTCCGCCACACTTCCAACCGGTAAAAGCTTTACATGTTCCTGTGCATTGCTACTGCCATCTACTGGTGAGTGAAAACACAGACACTAAAAGCGTGTTTTCATGTTTTATTGTAGGATTTTACACATACAAATATTTCCAGATATGATAAACTGGAATATAAAAATAATATTTTACTCACATTGGAAAAACAATTTTGAAAACGTGACAATAGTCCACAAACAAATGTTTTGCTTAGTGTAGGCACTCTTAGACACACTTCATGATTAAACTGTGCAGCAATATGTAACAAATCAATTACATACTTTATTTTTAATTAAATACACATCAGCAACAACCCCCACAAATAAAGCACAAAATTCCATTTGAGAACAATAGAATAAACAGATGGGAATATGATCAGAAAGATGGAATGTTTAACATCTCCCAGAAACGTTTATTTAACCGTGGAGTGCAATGATTGAGGGAATCCGTCCCCTAATGTCCAAAAGGTTGAGCTCTGTCATGTCCTCATGCAGACAGCTACTGCAGTCACAACCAGACAGTGCAAAAAATATCAGTGTCCGAAATAATCAAGACGATCTGAGTAGCAGTTTTCCGTCTTACTCGCGATTGCACAAATTCATTCCACGTCATCTTCTGTTAAAGACAGCTGACGATTCTCTGAAATACAGAAAACAATATATTTCAGAGGTTATGCCAAACGTGTATTGAAGCACAAATTATAGAACAGCTTAACTTGAGGAGAACGTTAGTATTTCTGTCTTAGAGGTGAAATAGCCAAGAGCTACTGACACATGGCTCTCAGCTTTGGATAATTCTAAGGTTGATCTTGCACCCTTTCTTGTCCCAGAGACCACAAAATGCAACTGGGGGGTTTATTAAGGATGCTCACACAGAAATGTAAATGGGGGATGCAAGAAACCCTCACCGTTCAGAGTTCCATCTCACACACTCATTCGACGTCATCTTCTGTTAATGGCTGAGAGCCGATGATTCGCTGAAAAACAGAAAATATTATGCGTTATGCTTAAAAAGTGCACGGAGGCACACAGATGAGCTAAACTTGATCTTTCTTAAATCACACAAGAAATTAACAACTAGCTGTTTTTAATGATCGTATTTATGTCTTAGAGGTGAAATAGCCAAGAGCTACTGACACATGGCTCTCAGCTTTGGATAATTCTAAGGTTGATCTTGCACCCTTTCTTGTCCCAGAGGCCACAAATAACAACTGGGGGGTTTATTAAGGATGCTGTGCAAAATAAAAAACTATACACATAGATTTTAATGGGGGGAAACTCTCACCTGGCTGATGGTGGGCAGTTTGGTGAGCAGCATTTGGAAGACTGGAGGCGGCAGCGTCTGCTGGAGCACCTGAAGCAGCTGCTGAGGTTGACCGCAGACCGCAATGGCGTTGGTCAGGTGGTCCACACCTTTCTCGAAGTCACCTGGAATGAGGGTTGGGAAAAGTTTAGAAAACAATCTAGGAATGAGAAGTGAGTCAGGAAACTATAAAAAGGAGGTGCGGGTTAGTTATAGATGGTTACAGTGTTTAAAAAATTTGTATGAATATGTATTTGAGTGAAAGATCAAGAGTGCATGGAGACATGAAGTGCAGCACAGGCTGTGTCCCTGAATGATTCACATGTGTATGTATTATTTGCTGCAGTGATCTCTAAAGCTCTTTGATGCGTCTTCTAAGTGTGCATCGTGCACATAAGGGAACATTTTATGCACGAGTAAACTGTGAGCAGACACGTGACTAACCTGTTGCCAGGAGCTCCTCTCCCAGCTGGATTTCCTCCAAAAAGAATTTCTGAACAGCTTCTGCGTCCTTCATGTCAGGTAGCTTCAAAGTCAAACAAACAAAAGGTGTCAGAAATGCACATGTAGGCCCCAGTGAGCCGCCAACATCTGAAATAGATTTTGTCCTACCCTTGCCACTCCAGAACTTTCACTAGAAACGTTTTGCTTTCTTCTACCTGCGAAACAAAAGCGGCTTTAGACTGCTGGTACGTTTGGTTTGCTGCGGTAACGTTACAAGTCGAGAAACACGTGGTCTCAAGTTAAACTGTTAGCCACCGCGTGTTTCTTGCGCATCTATCCTGCGACGTAGCCGAGTACAATTAAATCACAGCACGTGTTAACTCTTTCTACACTGTAAGTGATTCCAAAAAAACAACAAAGCTTTCTCTGTTAATACTTCTGTGGCTTTTTTTGCCGCATGGGAGCCAAAGTGCTAAGTAGCCCATTAAGCTAACGCTAACTTCGTCTGCTCCCTCCAGCTCAAATACTTACGTTCACGTAGCTTTTCCTTGAACAGAGGGTCGCTCCGTCGCTTTCTGTCAAAATAAATACAGTATGCGAGGAAGAGGACCCCACACGCCCCGACAACTACCGCACTCGTCTGTCCGCTCATCATATCAGCAGCCACTCGTGAGCGAGGCACGCGGCACACTAACTGGTTAGCAGCTAGCACGATGCTAAGGAAGTGCGGACCGGAAGTACGTAGATCATGACGCATTAATGACGTATCGTAGTTCAGTTTTAGCTATAAGGCCCATAAATAACTTATTGTTTAAGAAAAACATGATGTAAATACCAAAGTGTAAAATGCTCTGTTACAAGTAAAACATAACTACCGTAATGCACTTTAAGTAGCACAAGCAAAATTTGTTATAATGCAGAAAGCTTTCATGTGCAAGCAGCATTTTAATGTTACTTTTAACCACTTTTTAATATAAAGTTCACTTTGTATATGCTGTTGGGTAGGTAATCTTCGATGTATCATATTTTGTAAGCTTGTCATGTTTTAAATGTAGTAACAATAGCAAAATAACTACTTACAGTATATTAGTTAAATGCATGTAGTCAGGTAAAAGGTTAAAAAAAAAAAACTGGAGTAAATGGGGCTAAAAATTACAATTGTCCCTCAGAAATTTAGTAAAAGTAAAATAAACTAGAAATTATCAAGTAAAGTAGCACTACATCAAAGTTGTACTCCACAAATAAAGGTACTTTCCACCACTGAAGCCCAGAGACACACTGAATACTTCACAAACTATGGCATTTATTTCAAACAGAGGCTTCTGCTTAGCTTACATTTTTACAATAAATTACACAATGATCATCTTCAGATGAGCCTAATAAATACTATTGAGCATTTTTCAACAAGCTCCATTACTTTGTCTTAATCTATGATCCAGACTATTTTCCATATACAGGTTCATACAGGCCATGTACAGGTCGGAAAATAGTTCAGGCGCGTCCAAAACCACCATTCTTCTCTTACAAGCACAAGCTATAGAAAAATAAAACAATACAAACTAAAGCAAAACATGACATTAAAAAAAAAAAGGGAAGAAAGAAAAAAATAGTATTCAAACTTATGAAAAGAGGCAGAACAAAACTACATAAATGAACTCAAATAAATCTGTTCCTAGAAGAGAACAATGATGAGGACAAAGGGGAGAACAAACATGCTGTAACCCTCAGTATTTACACTTAAGCTGCAGTTAAAACCGTAAAACTGTCTGTACAGAAAGGTACATGTTATTAACAGTGCAAGATATTAAATAGCTTGACTCAAAACACTTCTCAATATACAAATGTATAAGAAAAGCATACAATTACATACAGGTGCCAAACAAAATGTAACTTCAGGTTATCGTACAGTAGGGAGTCTATACAAAGGAAACACTGGAGATGTCTTCAGAAATGTATACACATACGTCACTTTATGATATAAATGTACATTTACAATATCTTTAACTTTAATCTTGTCATAGTACAGGAAACAGAACCAAACCTTTTTGGTAGGGATGAGTGAGAGAGAAACGTTTTTTGATCACTAGAAAGATGCCAAAAGAGAATGCGTTGCTTTATTTAACGAAGCAAAAATACACTTGATTCAATACCTTCATGTTTGTTTAAAACACTGCAAAATGTGGGATTCAGCTTCATTCATGTGTTGCGCAGTACTGAGTACATGCTGTAAATACCGCCTATGGCTGCCTTCACGTTAACTTGATCCAGAGAGTGAAGACAGCGGGACAGAGGGGATTAAATGGCTGATGGAAACATAATCAAATAAAGCAGATGGGTTTCTAAAAAGGCTGAAGAACTGGAGTAATGTGACCATTGGATTCACCACCTCCATCATTGCACATTTTATACTGCCAAACTTTAACAGTTGCACCCAACCTGGATGAGAATTCAGTAGTAGATTACAGGTGATCCAGTATACGAGTTCTGCTTTCATAATTATACTTTTTAAACATCACCGTACGCTGATTAAAACCATTGTTATCCGTCAGACGAAGCACTTAACTGCCCGCTCACTCACAGGGCATTCTTCAGTCTTTTGTAAAGGGACACGATATTCCAGGCTGACCCTCCTGATTTGAGAAGAGGATCAGGGGGAAAAGAAAGTGCGTCCCTTTCTCAAAGTGCCCCATGGAGAAGAACAAAAAGGCACTACAGTATCATTCCATATTCATCCACTGAGGCCGTCAGTGGACCTATGATGGTCTGAAACCCAATCCGCCAACACCTACATGACTCAATGCAAACATGTGCAGTACCACATGCCTGTACGCGAAAAGAGCATCGTCAACCACTTGAGGTTTAACCACACGAAGGCCTTTTTTTTAACGAGGGTGGACAGAGAAAACGCGGCAAAGTTACATTTCGTACGCTCTTAAAGCCAATGTGGCAGTGCTCCTCTGGATTCAACATGAGGAGCACAGGCTGTACCTCGATGAGCTACGAGCACACAGGGGTCTTCACTGGAAATTGTCCCTTACCAATAACAACTTTATCAAATGGAAACAATTATTGCTTGCAAAAAAACAATTCTTATAAATGTTCAATTAAGCAGAGCGTAAAAGACAATTTTGTATTTTTTGTTTGGACAAATGTTTCCCCCCTACACAATCTTCATAAAAGTGCACTTCAGTGCCATTAGCTTGCCAAGGAAACAATTGTCAATAGAAAATAGTGCTTGTTTCTTGTTTTTGTTTGTTTGTTTGTCTCTGGTCTGGTTCTTGGGCCCCAGTAGTTACAGTTTGTAGGTTGACTTGTCCGTCCTGGTGGATGGGAATGAGGGCAGTGACCCCGGGGTGCTGGTTAAGTGCTTAGTGCGGTGGCTTTTCGCTGGCTCGTCCTGTCACCTGCACTCCACGGATACCCCAGAGTTCTGAGAAGAGGAGGATGAAGATGACACCGGCGGGTCAGCCAGGGTCAGCATGACTGCCGCAGTCAGTGAGCTGGAGGACGGGGACGAGGACGAGGAGGATGAAGAGGAAGCAGCCACCGTGCCTTCAGAACAAACGGAAAGAGGAATTGGTCATCGTCAGCTTAGAGACACGTATGGTTTTAATGGTGTAACCGCATCTTTACACACAGACTTAAGAATTTAAAAACAGCTGGGGGCAACACAAGCCTGGTAATCAGCGATGTTAAGGTCACAAAGAGTTGACTCACTTTCCCGTTCCTTCTTCTTCATGCGTTTTCGCCGCCTGTCGATGGAGGCCACCTCAGACTTGAGGGAGAGGTAGTGGTTCCTGATGTCCTGCAGCTTCTCCTGAAGAAACGAAATTCTCTCCAGACTGCTCATCTTTTCCAGTTCGGCTAAGTGGAGCGAAAACAATGCATTTTAGGATTACAGGATTAATAGAACAGAGACATAAACACTTATAAATCTCAGCTTTAATGAATAGGATGAAACATAGTTGCTAAATTGAAGAATAAGTTCATCCAAATCCCCCCAAAAATGTACTTTTTAAACATGTCAATGTTAACACCTAAATAGCCTCAGACATAACAAATTACCATACAAAAACAGCTTAATTGTGCGACACTTACACATCTGGAAGCTCCACTTGTACACGCGCGACGATCTTCCATGGTGGTCTCGGTGCTGGGTGTGGTCGGCGTCACTCTGCTTGTGGTACTTATGGCTCGAAGGGGGAGATCGTACGTGACACTTGGGCGAAGTGGCGGCCTTCACGTCTGGTGCGTTGTTCTTCGAGGCGGTTGATTTGGCAGTGCCCTCAACAACAGACTGGTCCTCGCTGTCACTGCTGTTGGCTGGAGGAGAGAAGACCGCTGAGGTGAAGAAAGAAGAAAAGGAAAATGATCAGGCAAAAATCTCACTCCCTTTCCCACCTGGAACCTGTAATTTAATGTCAGGAAACGAGCAAATATGAAATAGAAAATTCCACGGCTGATAAAAGTGCTGCTGGCTTTTGAAATAAGAAGGCTAGCAGGGCGACAGCAATGTCTTACCTGTTTTCCTATTCTTTTTGGGAGGCACACCTAGGCTCTTGCGGTTTGGCTTGTGTTTCTTTGAGGGTCCACCTGTCTGTGGTTCCTTCTGCCGCTTCTGACTCACAGAGGCTACAAGGAAAATGCAAGAAGACGGTGAGGATGCAGGCGGACTGTGAAATGAGTTGTCAGCGTGTATTTATTTAGTATTCCATCATTAAAAAAAACAAAGAGCGGAGTAAATTGGCTATTACTTGTACCTTTGGACTTCAGCTCGCTCTCCTGTTGGCTGCTGCTGCTCAGCTCTAGACTGCAGCTGCTGCTGCAGGAGAGGCTGACGTCAAACACCTTCGAGGGGGAACCCGCCCCCTCATCCTGAGGGAGGTCCTGCAGCTCCCCGCCCAGACTCTCCACCTCCACTGTACTGCTGTCCGTCTCACTGCGCCCACCTGCCACTTCCTCCTGCGTGGGTCCTGGGAGAAGAGCGTCAGGAACCGGCTCTGAAGGCAAGGCGGGCGCTACGGACGGTGGTGGGGAGGAAGGCTGCGCCGGGCCGGAGTCCTCCGCGACACTGCCCCCCCCTGAGGGCGACTCGGGCGTTGTCGGCGGCGTGTTGAGTACAGAGTTACTGCCGCTGCTCGGAAACTCCTGCAGCTTGTCGTTCTCCATCTGCTCCTCAGAGGCTTCGTCCTCGGGTCCAGCATCCTGTTCGCCGCTCGGCTCCTCCAGACACGGGGGCACGGGTGGAGGGGGAGAATTGGCAGCCTCTGTGTCCGAGTCGGAGAACAGTTCTTTGAGAGTCTGCTTCGGCCACTGGGCCTGGATGCTGGACCACACATCCTTTTGGCCTTTAGAGCGGACAGCTGGCCTTTCCTCTGCGTTCCCGGACATTTTGGCCCTCTTTTCAGGGATCTCCCAGAACCCAGCTTGTCTGCCACCTTTGGTCTTCTCCTTCATCCCGTTGTACTTCTTGGAAGGCGAACATTTGGGTTTTGGCCGGCTTCGCTCACTTTCCTCAGCTTGGGAGTCGGCCAGCGCTGCGCCCTCATCGTCTGAGCTGCTGCTGGACGAGGCCCCCCTCTCCTCCCCGGGACCAGCAGCTCTCTCCTCCAGTTTCCTGGGAGAGGCTCCAGGCAACCAGTCAGCACTCCTGGTGCTCCGGGTCTTAGCTTTAGATTGGCCCTTCGGGGTCCTCTCTGCTGCACCTTCAGATTTTCTCTTCCTGTTGCTCTGCTCTCCCTCCAACTCCGGTTGGCTTCGGCGCTTCCCGACATCTGCGCTCTCTGAACCGACCGATTCCTGATTCTTTCCAGAGACCGGAGGGGGTTTGGATGCTTCAGGAG